CATTTAGGTGGTAATAGGTGTCTTCCTCTACTCTTTTTTGGCTGTCAATTTTTTTCTACACTTTTAGGTGTATTTTGTGCAAGAAAATGCATTAAAATCGTCTGCCTAAGAAAAATTCAATTAGTTTGGGAACTTTTTTATAATTTTGGATTTATGGGTTAAATGACATTTAGGTGGTAATAGGTGTCTTCCTCTACTCTTTTTTGGCTGTCAATTTTTTTCTACACTTTTTGGTGTATTTTGTGCAAGAAATTGCAATAAAATCGTCTGCCTAAGAAAAATTCAATTAGTTTGGGAACTTTTTTATAATTTTGGATTTATGGGTTAAATGACATTTAGGTGGTAATAGGTGTCTTCCTCTACTCTTTTTTGGCTGTCAATTTTTTTCTACACTTTTAGGTGTATTTTGTGCAAGAAAATGCATTAAAATCGTCTGCCTAAAAAAAATTCAATTATTTTGGGAACTTTTTTATAATTTTGGATTTATGGGTTAAATGACATTTAGGTGGTAATAGGTGTCTTCCTCTACTCTTTTTTGGCTGTCAATTTTTTTCTACACTTTTAGGTGTATTTTGTGCAAGAAAATGCAATAAAATAGTCCGCCTAAGAAAAATTGAATTATATTAGGAACTTTTTTTTAATTTTGGTTTTTTTGGTAAAATGATTTTTAGGTAGTAATAGGTTTCTTCCTCTACTCGTATTTGGCTGTCAATTTTTTTCTACACTTTTAGTTTTGTTTTGTGCATGAAAATGCAATAAAATAGTCCGCCTAAGAAAAATTGAATTATATTGGGAACTTTTTTTTAATTTTGGTTTTTTTGGTAAAATGACTTTTAGGTGGTAATAGGTGTCTTCCTCTACTCGGATTTTGCTGTCGATTTTTTTCAACACTTTTAGGTGTATTTTGTGCAAGAATATGCATTAAAATCGTCTGCCTAAAAAAAATTAAATTATTTTGGGAACTTTTTTATAATTTTGGATTTATGGGTTAAATGACATTTAGGTGGTAATAGGTGTCTTCCTCTACTCTTTTTTGGCTGTCAATTTTTTTCTACACTTTTAGGTGTATTTTGTGCAAGAAAATGCATTAAAATCGTCTGCCTAAAAAAAATTCAATTATTTTGGGAACTTTTTTATAATTTTGGATTTATGGGTTAAATGACATTTAGGTGGTAATAGGTGTCTTCCTCTACTCTTTTTTGGCTGTCAATTTTTTTCTACACTTTTTGGTGTATTTTGTGCAAGAAATTGCAATAAAATCGTCTGCCTAAGAAAAATTCAATTAGTTTGGGAACTTTTTTATAATTTTGGATTTATGGGTTAAATGACATTTAGGTGGTAATAGGTGTCTTCCTCTACTCTTTTTTGGCTGTCAATTTTTTTCTACACTTTTAGGTGTATTTTGTGCAAGAAAATGCAATAAAATAGTCCGTCTAAGAAAAATTGAATTATATTGGGAACTTTTTTTTAATTTTGGTTTTTTTGGTAAAATGACTTTTAGGTGGTAATAGGTGTCTTCCTCTACTCTTTTTTGGCTGTCAATTTTTTTCTACACTTTCAGGTGTATTTTGTGCAAGAAAATGCATTAAAATCGTCTGTCTAAGAAAAATTAAATTATTTTGGGAACTTTTTTATAATTTTGGATTTATGGGTTGAATGTCATTTAGGTGGTAATAGGTGTCTTCCTCTACTCTTTTTTGGCTGTCAATTTTTTTCTACACTTTTTGGTGTATTTTGTGCAAGAAATTGCAATAAAATCGTCTGCCTAAGAAAAATTCAATTAGTTGGGGAACTTTTTTATAATTTTGGATTTATGGGTTAAATGACATTTAGGTGGTAATAGGTGTCTTCCTCTACTCTTTTTTGGCTGTCAATTTTTTTCTACACTTTTAGGTGTATTTTGTGCAAGAAAATGCATTAAAATCGTCTGCCTAAAAAAAATTAAATTATTTTGGGAACTTTTTTATAATTTTGGATTTATGGGTTAAATGACATTTAGGTGGTAATAGGTGTCTTCCTCTACTCTTTTTTGGCTGTCAATTTTTTTCTACACTTTTTGGTGTATTTTGTGCAAGAAAATGCATTAAAATAGTCTGCCTAAGAAAAATTGAATTTTTTTGAAAATTTTTTTTTTCGAAAAATGCTTTAAAGGTCATAATAGGAGCCTTCCTCTACTCGGATCGGGCTGTCAATTTTTTTCTACACTTTTAGGTGTATTTTGTGCAAGAAATTGCAATAAAATCTTCTGCCTAAGAAAAATTCAATTATTTTGGGAACTTTTTTATAATTTTGGATTTATGGGTTAAATGACATTTAGGTTGTAATAGGTGTCTTCCTCTACTCTTTTTTGGCTGTCAATTTTTTTCTACACTTTTAGGTGTATTTTGTGCATGAAATTGCAATAAAATAGTCTGCCTAAGAAAAATTGAATTTTATGGGAATTTTTTTTGGATAAGGGTTGTTTTAATGGTCGTTTAAAGGGTTCTATTTGAGTTTTAATTTACATTTGAAAATATTTTTAAAATGAGGAATTTTTATTTGACACAAGTTGCATTAATTTGAATAAATATCTGTCAAAAAAATTTGTTATCAAATTTTTTAATTGATTTTTTAAATTTTGTTAATAACTTTTGATTTGTTAATTTTTAAATTTGTGCCCAAATTTTATTGAAATGAATAAAAGTTCTGTGGAATATGAATTCGTCGTTTTAGGAATTCTGTGAAATAAAAATTTGAAAAAATGATAATGAAAATTATATTTTTCTTAAATAATAATTCGAAGAAATGAAAGTTTTGCTATAAGTAAATTCAAGGTAATGAAATAATTTCTACTAATATAATGAATATAATGTTAAATATATAATTTATTCTTGTTCAACAATAGATTTAATTTGTTCTGATTTATCTCTACTGTCAATATTTAATGTAGTTTTTATTCTTTTTATTATTCTTCTTTCTAATAGAGGTTTTGTTTGACATTTTTACACATTTTTTTAAATATAGTTATTTATGATACAAGTGCGTAAAGTGAGTGATTATACGAGTGTGACGTTTGCAGCAAATCACACGAGTATTATCAGATTTACGCACGTGTATAATACAACATTTTTTGCAACAACCACCTCTAAAGTTAAGTACCTATTATGAAGAATTCCAACTCTCTATTAGAATAATTTCGATTGTATAGAATTAAAAAAATGAATCGAAGATCAGGAAAAATATCATTAAGCAGGAGTGTATAAATTTAATAGTAAAGTTCGTTTTTTAATTTTGTGGTTTTGTATAGTCTAAAACAATCTTTATATTATGTGAGAGAAATTTCGGTGCGTAAAGTAAATTTCAATGTGTAAAGTAATATTTCAGTGCGTAAAGTAAATCACTTTACACACCGTTTGAAAAAGAGCTTTTTTACACACAATTTTCGGTGTGTAAAATTAAACTTTGGAGGTTAGTGTTGCAAAAATTTCATTTTTAGACATATCTTACAATTTGCAAGAGAGTGGAGTTTTTCTTTTTTTACTAAATTTTTACCTCATTTTACTTTCTTTATTTTTCTATTTTCTGATTTAGTTCAATCCTTAAATATTTATTTTCTACAGAAAAATCAATTGAAAAATTTGTTTTTCTAAAATTCAGTCTTGAAATTAAGGCGAGATACCCAGTTAAATTTTAATCTATCAAAATTTACAGTAATGTTTTTTCTAGGCTTATTTAGACTTTAAAATTTTTTAAAAATTTAATTAATAATTAAAAGTTTTTTTGCACAATGTTCAAATGTTTATTTTTTGAAAAAATGGTAATTTTTTAAAAATCCATAAAATTTATTATTCGAAATCATGGAAAAAGTATTTAAAAAATTAACAATGTAAATTAATAAAAAATTGTAAAAGTAGAATTTAAAAGAAAATTACCATTAAAATTTTAACCCCAATAAAATTTTACATTATTCAAAAAAATCAATTCTCTTTTTTGCATTATTTAAAATCTCAAATTAAATTTTTTTGTGAAAAATTGAAGATAAATCATATTTTTCCACTAATTTATTTGTTTTTACACTTTTTTAAAAATTTTATGTAAAAAAATGTAATTTTTTTAATATTCCTACTACTGATTGTTGAGAATCATTTATTTATATATTTTAAACATAAACGAGTTTCAAGTAAACTTTTTTCATAGAAAATGCATAAAAAAATTGTCGATTAAAAATAAAAATTATTTATGGTAAGAAAAATCTTTTTTTTTTAAATATTTCATCAATTAAAAGTTTTTAGAAAAAATTAATTTTAGTAATCAAAAGTTTTTAGACAATTTGTCTTTTTTAGATAACGAATTTCATTAAAGAAGGTTTTTTTTATAAAAAAATATGGATCAGAAAATATTTTTTTTTTTTTTTAGAAAAATCGACTCTTTACCATCTTTTACAAAATGTACAAATGATTTTTATTTTTTTGGCATTTGCATTTTATAGTTTTATCTTTTTTAAATTTTTTGATTATTTTACCGAATTAATGCTATACATATATAATTAGTTAAATCCTCTAAAAATTTTCGTATAAAAGTTTAATTGATAAATTTTTCTAAAGTTATGTACAAAGAATTTTGGTCTATTTGTAGGTAATTTTTTTTTAAACCAAAAATTTTTCTTCAAACAATTTGTTCTACTTAAAATTTAATTTTTTTTATCCACTTGATTTCACGTCAATGAAGTTTACAACGGTTATAATAATCGATTTAGAGACAATTATATTTTTCTATGCAAATTATTATAATTTTTTGTCTTTTTTCGACTTATTAATTAAAATTCTTCATCTAGTTAATTATTTTGAATAATTTTAACGAACTTCTTTTAAAATTCAATTATTTAAAATACTTTGAAGTTATTTATTTAAAATTCAAATATAATTTGCATAAATCAGATTTGAAAATATTTTTAAAAAAAAAGTAAATTTCAAATTTTTTTATAAATCTCAAAAATTTTGAAATTCTTGCAAATTTGTCGCGGTTTAATTTTCAAATATTATCGAAATAAAATTTCTTGATAAATTACTATTGAAATTATTCTTATTAAGGAATTAGTAAAATTTATTTTTAATATTAACAATGGTTTATAGAAATAAAAAATTTTTAAAATCTACTTTTTTGACTTTGCTTCTAATGTGTAAATAGACTAAAACGACTTTTTTGCGCCTTGAAGTCGATTCAAGGTCTGAAAATTCTATTTTCCTGATAAAAAAAATTTTTTTTTTCAATCGTTGATCATAAACGTTGTGAATTTCATCGACATTTGATTTCTATATTATTTTAATGATATCGAATTAAAAAATCAAGGAATATTTTAAATTTACTATTCTTTTCCTTAAAATAATTATAGAAATTGTTACCGTAAACATTTTTTGCTGTTAAATCTTTTATAATTCCATTTAAGAGCAATGTCAACAATTCCAGAATATTTAATGAAATCGACAGAAACAATATTCGCCGAGTGTTGCCACAAATTATTGTACCATCGTGTGATATTTGGATTAACTTCTTCAGTCATACGTCGAAGACCTCCAAAAATATTTCTGACGATATATGAAGGATTTGGAGTCATTTGTGCCATAGCTGATCGTGGCTGATATGTTATTGAACTGCAAAAGTAGAAATTTCAATAAATAAATAAATAAATTGCTAATTATTAATTAATTATAATTAATAATGAATGAAAATAGTTTAAAAAATTTTTTTTTTTAATTTTTTCATTACCTTAATGCTTTTTTTTCAATTTTTGCCAAATATTGATACAATTTATCAATAGATTGAACATTGCCCCATTGTTGTCTAACACTTGGCCATAAGATATTGTGTTTTAAAATAAAATTAAAACGATCGTAACAAATTATAAGGTTCATTTTGTGTGACCAAATGTTATTTAAAGTTTGATACCAGCCCAAATATGGAATTGCATATTTTTCAAATTCAGCTTGTAAAAATTGTATCAATCTGTCATGAGCTGTTGGATCTTCATTAAATTCTATAAAACAATAATTTCACAATTATTATTTATACATGAAGTATAATCAAATGGGAAAAAATGTCTTTTTTCTTGTAATTATTTTTTTTCTCTTAAATATCAAAATAAATTTTCGATTTGGTAATATTAAAAAAAAAAATTTTTTACCAAAAAAAAAATGAAACTTAAAAATAAATTTGACTTTTTCGGGGTGAAAGGTACAAAGTTTTTTTCTTTTTTTTTTTTTAATCGAAAGCTGAGGTTTTTTCCTACAAAAATATATATAGTTGAAAAAATGGGACTAAATGAAAAATAATATTTTTACCAAAAATTAACATCTTAATTGCCAATTAAGAAAAAACAACTTTTAAGTATTATAACTTTTTATCTAATTGGAATATTTAATTTTTTTTCTCTTTTGACTTGAACGAGTTTTCATCAGATTGAAAAATTAAAAAATTTTCAAAAATATAACAAAAAACGGCCATTTTATCGAAAAAAAAAAAAAATTGAAACAAAAAAGTAGGCGAGGTATTATAATATTATTATTTTATTATTTAATAAAATGTGCGAAATTACCTGAAGAAAATTCTTGAACATCGAAGATAACTAATTCGTTTGTATTATTGAGAAAAGTTTTTACATCATTAATTATTGTTTGCAATGGAACTGTATCCAATCCATGACAACCCCACCATTTAATTTTCTCTTTTGGTCGATAGCAAACCCGAATATCCAAATATCGTGTTCCATATATTAATTGGCCAAGAACATCTTCGTCCTGGAAAAAAAAATTGTCCTTAATTTTTTGTTTTTGAAAAAATTTTCATCTTAAAGTCATATAATTGTTGTGATTTTACATATATGTAAATATTCTCCGCAGATTTTTTCACAAAATACTTGATAAATTGATCTAAAATTTTGTATAGACAACTCAAAAATAGTATTGTCTGAGAAGAAAGAAAAAAAAATTATTATTTTACAAAAAGATGTATTAAGTTTATGCAAATTTTTTTATTATTGAATTTATTTGAAAATTTTTCTTTTTAGCATATTTTCCACGACATGAAAATACTTTTATAAAATCTTATATTTATTTTCTTTCCGTACATTATTATGTATTTTATCCATTATTTTATATCTAATTAATAAAATTAAAAATAATAAATTTAGTCATTCTGAACTGTGTGTTTTTATTTCAAATATTTTCTATTAGTTAAAAAAATTTTGCAAATACATTTTCTACATAAAGATATTATTTTACAGAAAATATTACTTTTTTGCAAAATTATTTTTATTTTGTTTTCTGAAAAAACATGTATAGAAAAATAATTCCTACAAACTCTATTATTATTTTTAAAATTAGTTGTCAGCGACATTGTTCAAAATATAATATGTAATGACTCTTATTATTTTTTTTTTATTTAAAGATTACCTCATGATTATTGCATAGTTTCAATTTAATTTACCATTTTCCTGTGAAGTGCACAATAATAAATTATCGTTTGCATCTGTCATATCTCTCTCTCTCTCTCTTTTTCATAATCAATATTTGTTATATTTTCGAAACGATTTAAAGTTAGGCAATAACATTGTTAATGAAAGATATTTTTACATTTTGTTTACTTATTGTCTTATTTCATTGATAAAAATTATTATAAATGTGAAAAAAAATAATTTTTGAAAAAATTAAGAAATATTTAAAAAAAAAAATATTAAATTTTAACGAATTTAATTTTCAACTGTTTATATTTTTTTTTTTTTGGAAATTTTTACCTGCGTTATAATGTATTTATTGTAGAAAAAATCTTGAATTAATGAAGGTGATGTTTCATAAGCGGCAGAATTGTGTGTTCCTGGTAAAAAAATTTCACTCATTTTATGATTTCCCAAAATACACTTCATGTCTGCCATCCATGTTGGTTCAGTTTTTAAACAATTTTCCTTTATAATCAAATTGGATCGCAACCAAGCCACGTGATATTCTGGTAAGAAAGAAAATAATTTTTATTATATTGTTACAATTAGAAGTAAATTAATTAAATTTTTGAAAAATAATTAATAATGAGTGACTTTAAGTGAAATGGTAAATAATTTTTAATAACAATAATTAATAATTATTATTATTTATATAATAAAAATAAAATTTTAATAAAAAAAAATAAAATAAAAAATTTTAATAAATAAATAAAACGTTGCAGTACAGAAGGAAGAATAAAAATATATTTTAATTATTATTAACTAAAAGTGGAAAATTTGTAATTATCAAAGTCCATATGCTTACTTAAACATTGTTTAGTGAAATTGAGTTTTGCAGATGGAATAAAATCAGCTTCCACTCCAGTTTTTGCTAATCCAAATGGTACGTTTGGTTCTACAATGAAAATTGGTTTTAAATTATCTCGTGGTTTTTCAGTGTATAATCCAAGTTTGTCTCCTCGATGATATTTTTTAAGATTCCAATAAAGTGCAATTTCTCGTTTTGTACTCATGTTAATCCTTGGAGAAATAAATATACCAAAGTAAGAATCTTCAAATTCTGCAAAATTATTTATTTTAATAATTCAATAATTCCCTTCTTGTAACAAACAATATATATATTAAATAATAAGAAAATAATAATAAAAAAAATATCTTAATTTTAAATTAAAAAAAAAAAACAAATACTCACCATCTGTAAGATTTTTCTCATCAGAATAAACAGTGAAAAAATGATGTGCAAGACTATATATAAAAATAACAAAAATAGTTAATCTATTCATTTTTGAATAATTTATTGAATAATAATATCATATATCATCAATGTGCAATAACGAAATGAAAAAGTTGGTTCTCAAGATAATGATTTATATAATGCTAAAGATTCTTATCTTATTGTAAATTATAATTTTTGTAAATTGTTTACATATTTTATTGTTAAGAAAAAGAATTAAAATTAATTAAATTTCAATTGTGAATTATATTCTAAACAAAAAATTCTTTTCTAATATAATTTACTCTTTATTATTTTTTTGAATTAATTATTTTATTAACATAACAAATTTACACTTGAATAATTTTCAATGTTAGCAAATTATTACAGATATATATAAATGAATGAGAGATAAAAGAAATATTTATGAAAGAAAATTATTAAAACTTAATCTAAACTCTTTTTTTTTTAATATATTAGAAAACAAAAAGGAATTTTTACAATCAAAGAAAAAAAAAGATTTTTTTTATTCATTAATATTCATGAATATTCCCCATACATATGGGAATTTTTGTGGTATCGAATTAAAATATAATCGTAATTTATTGAATGATGTTAAAAATATTTTCATAAAAAAAAAAAATTGTAAACAATTATTATTAATTAAACAAAAATATATTAAATTAAAAAAACATTATTTATCCAAATATTTATCAATAATTCAAGGATTCCCTAAATATTTTAGAAAATAATTTCCTTTTGACACTACAAAAATAATTTTGTTTGAATAAATAAAAAAAAAAAAAAATATTTCTTAAAAAATTCAACTATTAAAAATATTTTACATAATTTTTTTTAAAATTCTGATATTTACAAATTATTAATTATTCTCAGATTATATTTTTAATTTTTTTTTTTTTGCAAAAAAAGGCAATGTAGAGCAAAAATTTAAAATATAATAAAAAAAAATTTTAATCGAAATTCTATGAAATCAAAATTTATTTAAATAGAAATTCTTCCATGTGAAAATTCAGTTCATTATAAAATCCATGATAAAATCTATTTTAAAAAATTCAGCTAAATAAAAATTCGATAATTTTTACTTCGACAACCACCAAAATTCTAACATAGGTCTATAATATGTGAAGAATATTCATTGAATAAATAAAATTTATCGATTAGGTAAAAAATGAAACAACAATTATTTATATTCGTTATTTTTCCCTTTATTAAAAAACTGAAAAAACGAAAACTTTTTGTGAAAGTAACAAACTTTTGGCTTATATGACTAGTTTTAATACTCAGCGGCTACTAAATTTACAGGACAATGGACGTTTCTGCACAAGATACTTAATGACTGTTTCAAAATTTTTCCATATTATGAAATTATTGTAATAGATATATATATAAACACCTTTAAATCACAAATTTTCTTATCTATTTTAATTATATGTTTAGTATTCAAATCAACAGTACCGTTAATTTCGGTATTTTTTCAATTACAAATTCAATTTCATTTTTTTTTTTTTTGAAACAAAAACAACGTGTAAATTTATTTTTTTTTTAAATTGTATTTGTAATTTTAATAAAAATAATTTTCAGTTAAAGAGAGAAAATTTCAGACATCCTAAGCGAAAATAGACATCAATATTAAAAAAATTAACAATCATTATTTAAATTAATGAAAAAAGTATCAAAATATTTCAATAATGGTAAATTTCTTAAATTCTAATTCCCAAATACAAATTATATATAATAAAAATTTTTTCGTTGTTTAGAATATGTTTTTTTTTTCGTCAAAAACTAATTATTATCTAATTAATTAAATAATTAATTAATTGTTTGTTAAGTATAATATTGATTCTAAATATGAATCAAGTGACAACAGATAGATGAAATTATATTCAGGAATTTTTTTGTTTTTTTTTTACAGCAATCCTTTTTTTTTTGTTATCTCTTTCTGTTTCACATTCTTTACGAACGGACGTAAAAACAAATAATTTAAAAACTTAAAAATTATAGATGTACAATATATTCATAGTCTCTGTCTTGGAAGACACGGTGTATGGCAGGATTTTAAATTAGGAATAAATAATACGGCATTAAGCCAGGTCTTGAATTATTATGTCTTTCCATTTTCTTTGTTCTTACATAAATATTGTTTTCATCAATTTATTTATCATTTTATTGTAATGTAAATATTTGCAAATTGAAAGACCTGTCAAATGCCACTTGGGTAACCCATTCGTGACCAGTTTATTTAAATTATTATTTAAGTAAAAAAAAAAACAGGAGAGTTGGAAAATAAAATTTTTTAAATTTAGAGAAATTAAAAATAATTTTTTGAAGACAATTTTTTTACAACTCGAGAAAAATTTTCTTTAAAAAATTGTATTCAAATAAATTGTATTACAAATTCATGGGAAAAAATTTTCTCTATTAAATAATTAAAAAAATATATATTTTTTTAATGTATAGATTTTTTTATACTGTTAAAATAAAAGCAAGTTGATAATTTTTTTTTAAAATACCTGCTAATAATTTGATAAACTCCTGTAATTTTTTTTTTTTTTAAAGAGTAAACTGAAAATTATAACATACCCAGCTAAAACATTTAAGACGAAACGTTAAAACTTAATTACAATAAATATAAACATTATTACGAACAAAAAAAATTATCTTACAATTTACTCGTTCGAAATATACAATAAATCGCTTAAATATCAGTCCTCGATATGTGATTGCAAGTTTGTCGCACTGCAAGTATTCAGTCACGTACAATTATAATGTATCATATTTATAAATATTTAATTAAAATTCCAGATCCAAACAAAAAAAAATAAATAAATTGGATCAATATTTATAAGAAAATTTTTTTCGAGAATTTTCTACTCAAATATCAATTTATTTGAAATTTGAAATTTAATTAAATTAAAATTTTCATTTTTTTTTCAACGGTTTCTTTTATTTTTATTGTAAAATTCTCGAAAAACATTTTTTTATTAACGTCAGTGCCTTTTGCCTGGTGTATGTAATAAAATAACATTCAAAGTTATTTTAAACTTTTTATAAATGATAAATAAAAATTAAATACAGTTGCAATACTTCAAATGTATCGAAAATGATTAAATTTTTTTTTTTTTTTTTTTTAATGGAAAATACTGTGTAACTATATTTGTGGGGAAAAAAAATGTACAGTCAATGAAAATTAATTATATTTTGACAATTCAAAATATATCTAATAATTCAAAATACATTAAATTAAAAAACGTTAATTAATTAATTCTCATAAACTAGTTAAATATTTATCGTAATTCTAAAAAAAAAAAAACAATTACAGACTAATAAGGATTCAGTCTCTGTTTGGTCGCTATATATACGATTTTTTTTTACCTTTTGTTCAATTATCCGTTTTTTTTTTTTTTTATTTTCGCGTCGGTTTTCTTTTATAGGATTTGCGGAAACGCAGTGGTCGACTCAATTGTACTACATATAATTATTATTAGTAGCTTAACAAAAGATATTCGTAGAATTGGAACATGTGTCCGGATGTTGGCGATTTCAACTTTCTTGGAAATTTTGCAAGTTTCCGCATTTAATCCTCTAACAACCAGGCAAAAAGTCATGCTTCAGATGACAAGATATGGCAACAATTATTAGCGAGACATTTATTTTTTTTTCACAAATTAAATCAAAATTTAATTTCAAACAATATTTACTTTTCATATTGTTAATATTGTAAATGATAATAATTTTCGCTACAAATTTTTTATGAGAGCAATTTTTTTTATAAAAAGAATTTTATGAAAAGAATTTTTTTTTTATAAAACAAATATTTATTTATTTATTTATCAATTAAACGGGCAATGCAAAAATATAGTTATAAAAAAAAATTTTTTTAAAAGAAATAAGTTTATAAACAAAATTCTATTCATAAATATATTTTTTTTTATAAATGTAGTATTTCTTTTTTATAAAAAAATTCTTTTTTTTTATTTATTTATTTCAAAATAAACGGGACAAGTCCTTTCGTACAAAAGTATGAATAGTTTTTGTAAAAAAAAATTCTTTTCATAAAAAATTGTCTTTTTAACATTCTTTTAGTAAACATATAATTTTTATAATGAAAAAAATTCCTATATAAAAAAATATGTCTTACCAAAATAATGATAAATTTAAAAGATTAATAATAATTTTCAACTAGAAAAATATTTTTCATAAAAATTAAATTTTACATTTGGAATAATTTTTTATTGCCAAATCTTGTCTTCAAAATTTGAAAAAAAAAATGTAAAAGACTTGTTTTTACATTTTTTTTTCATTTTTAAATTCGTTTGAAAAAAATGTGGATTTTACGAATTTCTTTAAAAATTTGATTTGAAAGTTTTACAAGGAAATTTCAAACATTTCCAATAAATGTAGGAATAGAAATACATTTATTATATATACGTGTAAAATTGACGTGACACAGCAAAATTTGTGGCATGTATTTAGAGTCCGCAATCACGCAACGTATAATTTACACATACGTGTACATATTTTTATACATTTTTTTTTTTTGTTTTGTTTTGTTTTCTTTCACATTCATTTGAATTTTTAGTATTAGCTTAGATTGAAGGTATAAAGCGACTTCACACCACAAGGCACTAAAGCGGCCATGTTAAAATATTACATTTTTCTTAAAAATTAATTCTATTTACGCTTCAATAATTTACAATTATTTATTACTATTTTTTTGTCTCCCAAAATTGTGATAATTGTGATATTTATATATAAAGGTCCAATAACTTCGAAGAAACATTTTTCATTAGCAGAACTTTGTCCATATTTAAATAAAGAGAAGGAAAAAAAAAATTGTACAATAATTTTTTTGAATAAACAAATAATCCAAATGTTTTCTTTTATTTTCAATTAAAAATAAAAGAAATTTTTTTTTTTATTTTTTGGAAAATTAAAAAAAAAATTTTTTTTTAATACTAGTTTCATTTTTGTTGCGTCTTTCGTTTATTAATTTATATATTTCTACAACTATATTTCTATATGTAAATAAAATTTTAATTACATTCTAATGGAAATATTTTAATAAAATTAAAAAATAATTTTGTGAATTTTTTAATTTCTGAGAAAGGATCTGTGCAATTTTCGTTGTTTTAGGGTGTTAATTTATTTTTCAACATTATTTAGGGAGCAAAAATTATGCTGTGTTATTAAAATTTAGAAACAAATATTTTATTATTAGTTAAAAAAAATTTTGTAATTTAACATAAAATTTTGGAAAAATTGCAATATCAAATTCTATCATAATTTTCATATTTTATTCATTGATAACTTTTTAGAATGTTTTTTTTTCATGATTCTGAACAATTTAAAAGATTGAAATTTTTTTTTGATTTTTTCAAAAAAAAGCAATTTTTGAAAAAATTGATTTAATACTTTTAAATTAGTCGAAATTCATTAAATTTTAATCAATTTTTAATTATTTGAACTTCTTTCAGAATTTTGAATATTTTTCATCGACAATTTTATTTTTCTCTTTTTTATAATTTTCAACAATCAATCGTATGAATATTAAAAAATTTTAATTTTTTCAAAAAATAAAATTTCTAAAGAATTAAAAAAATGTTTAAAACAATCAAACATTTTTTTTTCTTCAATTATTTACAATGGAAAATAATTCCATGTTCAAAAAGTTGAAAAAAAATTGACAAATTTTAATTACTTTAATACATATTTAAAATTGAACTTTTTCCAAAAATTTTATTTTTTTTTTCATCGAAAATTTTTGTTACACTTTTTTTTTATGATTTTGAATAATCAATCGTAAAGATTTTAAAAAATTTTAATTTGTTCAAAAAATAAAAATTCTAAAATGGTTTTTAATAACGTAAAACATTTTTGAATTCGAAATAATGCTGGAAAAAAATAGTCGTCCTCTAAACAATGAAAATTTGAATCGGTTAAAATTTCACTCCTTTTTAGTTGAAAAAATTGAAAAGAAATTTGATAAAAATTGAGTTAATAAGCAATTTTTTTTTTTGGATTATTTGTCAAATTTCATCTTAAATATAAACATATAGTTATTATAACGCTAAGCATAATTAATATATCGATAATTTTGAATAATTGTATATACTTAACGAACATTAAAAAGACATGCAAATGAAAAATGAAAATTTTAATTATCGCAAAAGCGCATTTAATATATATATATATATATATTTCGGTAAAAAATCAAACAAGTTTAAATTAATTTATAAATTAAAAGGCCATATTTAGGACCTTCTACTGATTTTCCATCATTCTATATATATATATTTATGCGGTTTAATTAATTTCTTAGAAAATTACAAATAATTAATGTGCACATGCGATACAGTAGAAATACATTTGAAATAAAAAGGCATTTACTTTATAATTATATATACATAGCGAATAAATATTTCTGAAGACGGAAATTTAATTATAAATTTCTAATCAATTTGGTTTACTGATCATATTTCAATTAAATTTCAAAAAAAAAAGAATTTAATTGAATTCTGATGGACTAAATTGTGTGTTTTCTGTCAAATAGTTATTTACTGTTTACAAATATTACACTATATTATAAATTACAGTAAAATCTTTTTTTTTCACATCAGGTAAATTTTCATTTATTTTGGCACACAAGATTAAACATTTTTTTTTTTCAGAAGCAGATGAAAAATATTAATTTTATTGTAATTAGCAAAAAAAAAAATGATAATCAGACTAGTTGGATAATTAAATCATAATACTTTTAATCTTTAATAATGTAGTTGAAAGTATTAAGCGCAAGTGACACATTTTTATTTGACAAATTTTCGATGTTAATTTTTTTTAAATTAATTAATTAATTTAAATTTTGATAAATTTGTCAAATAATCGTGTGTTTCGTTTGTCACTGCTTTTCTGTTTTTTTTTTTTATTTTGACAAGAAATGTAACTTTTTAAAATAATTTTAATCTACACACTAACTTTTTTTTAATAATCATTAAATATATTTCTTATTATATTTATATTATTATTAAAATTAGTTATTTATGTCATTTCAGCAGCACAACTGCGGAGATTCGACTCTTAAAAAATGAGTACTTTACCACGTTCGCGGGAAAATTGACTAATAATTGTTGTGTATGTTTTTATTTTTGTGGTTTGGTACAGCAATCAATGTTCAAAATGAACTACTCTTAAAATTGCGCTTCCTCATTTGTTATCGATTTAAAGCAACTATACATTCTTTTTTTAATTATTTAAATATTTTATTTATTTATATATATATTGATGAATGAAATAAATTAATTATAGATTTTTGCGGCAATAACCCCGCTACCAAGTATATACATATATATATACCTTTCACCAATCGTACCTGACATTCCGAGGCGAGAAAAAAAAAATTAAAAAAAAGAAAGTGTTGGGGACAAGGAACTGTTTCTAGTGTAATATCCGCTCTTACGGTGATTTCGTTTTTTTTCTTCTTCTATATATATATATATATATACTTATTTATATAAAATTCACATACGCGCAAAATAGAGGAATGATTCAAATTTCTTTTAATTCCGTATTTTTTTATTGATTTAAAAATATTTTTAAAAATATTTTTCATATATTTTTCTCTTTATTTTACATTGGTAAAATTTATTATATTTATGATCAACGATTGAAAAAACAAATTTTTTTTTTAATAATTTTTTTTTCATGTGGAAAATAATATTTTTTTTGCCTAAAAATTATTTTCTATTAAAAATATTGTTGATCGAGGAACGTTGAAAAACATTTTTTTTTTTTTTTTTTTTTTTTTTGACAAAAAATTGTAAATAATTTGTATAAAAGAATATATATATATTTTTTTTAAATCTAAATTCTTGATGAAAAAAATTTAAATTTTACCGATGTTTTTTTTTTAATAATTTATATACATTCGTTGTAATTATTTATACAAATTTTCTATACTCAAATTTTTAATTTCATACTTTTTCCTTCAAATATTCAATTATTATAACTAATTTGAAATAATTTTTATTTTTTTTCTCTTCTTTTTTCAATTAAATTTGTTTTCCTTCTAATCAATTTTTTAAAAAGAAATGTATAATTTTTGAAACGATTTTTAAAACTTCTCAGAAATATGATTCGACGATTCTTTTAATTATGTTTTTAACAAATAATTAAAAAAGAAAAATATTGATTTTAAACAGAAATTAAAGAATTATAAATTATTGATATGTTTAAAATAAAAATTTCAAAACATAATTATCCTTTTTGATTCTTATTGATTTTCTTTGAAAATTTCTTATTTCTTCGAAATCGAATTAATAAAATAATTAAATTTAATTGAAATATTGTTATTTTTCTCAATACCTCAAATTATAATCAAATATTTTTTCTTCATAATATGGAAATTTTACAAATATTTTTAAATATTCTTTTCTAAATATTGTTAAAACATTTTTTTTTATAATAAACGTTCTCATTGCTTTGTATTCGTCTCTTTTAATTTATAAGGAATTTGTTTTTTTTTTTTTTTGTTTGCCAAATAATCTCCGCGTTCGTTCGTTAAAAATTAAAATATTCCTCCCCTTTTCACGTCAGTGAAATTCACAACGTCAACTATCAACGAGTGAAAAAAAATAGATTTTCCACTTGAAAACTAACAATTAATTTTTTGCCAAAAATGTTTTCGTCAAAAAATTTTTAATCAAGAAATATGGAAATTGTAAGGGCCTTTATAAAAGGCATACAATAAAATAAATTATTATTATTATTATTATTATTATTAATCAAGAAACGATGCAAAAAATTTTTTTAATTAAAAAATTATTATAATTTGCAAATATTTTTTCTAAATCGTTGATCATAAACGTTATGAATTTAACTGACAACTCGATTGTTTTTTAATATTTTCTCTTTTTTTTGTATAATAATATAAATTACGAATAATTTAGATGGAAAAAAAATAATTCTTATAGAAAATCAAAAGTTTATATCAAGAAAAAAAACGAGTTCACCTCAAAGCAAAATAAATTAACCTACTTATAAATATAAGCCTTTGCATCAAATGTTACATTTCAATGTCAACATTATTTTCGTATACTTTAGAATTGCATGTATGTACATTCTCAAATAAGAGAGAACTTTTTTTTTTCTTTTTCTTTTTTGTCCTAATGAACATATTTTCACAGGTACACACTGTGGATTCTATAAAAAGAAACCACTTAAAATTCAGACTTTTTTTTTTGTTTTTTTGTTTTTTTTTTTTTTTTTTTAAATAGAAATGTGCTTTTGGTCCGCTGAAATAAAAAAAATAAAATAAGACATAAATAATTGGAAGCGATTTTAAGTCTATGATTCTATGCCAAGATTGGTTTTGTGATGCCTATCGCGTTGCCCTGAGTATCAATTTGTACATAAACCTTGACTACGAATCATAATAATATATATATATATATTTTTTTTTTTTTCATACACTGTAAGATTCAGTCTTTGGGAGAAAATGATTCAATGAATCTCACCGATCCAATGGTACATCCTCTAAATTTGTTACATTACCAAAATGTTGAAAACCATTTTTAAATATTCTCCCCCTACTACTCGTACTTTGATCCAATAGCGTGACATTATCCTCAAATTCTTTAATCCATCTCGCTGTTTCATTACCCCAATGAAAACGTACTGGCGCCGATGGTTGATAAACTTTTTTTATTCCAAGTTTACGTATTTCAACGCCCTCCTCGGAATGATAAAATGAATTTTCACAAAAATCTTGCGACAATAATGATTCCAATTCACCGACAATTTCCATAAATGTTGGCCTCTCACTTGGCTTCCATTTGAAACATTTTTCAATTAATTTCTTCACACTATCAGGACAATAACGTGGAATACTGAGTGTTCCCTTACGTAATACAAAATCAAGAACATCCTCATTTGAATAGCCCTGATATGGCAATTCGGCTAATGTCACAATCTCATAAAGAACAACGCCAAATGACCAAACATCAGAATCAGATGTAAATACACCATCGGATAAATTTTCAGGCGCCATCCATCTCACTGGTAATAAACCTTTTTGTCCAATTTTATAATAATCAGTTTCATAAATATCGCGCGCCATACCAAAATCGCCAACTTTACATACTAATTTTTTTGATATCATACAATTTCTCGCTGCTAAATCGCGATGAACAAATTTTTTCGATTCAAGATACGCCATTCCATCAGCAATTTCGGCTGCCATTCTTATCATTTGCGGTGTATCGGGCACTGCTGGCGTATCACGTATCCCCCTTAAATACAATTTCAAATCACCATTATGCATTAATTCCATAACAACATAAGTTGGCATTCCCACCGATATAACGCCCAATAATTTCACAATATGATATGATGAAAAATTTTTCATCACCGATGCTTCATTTAAAAATTCATTTTTCTCTCTATCATTCGCTGTTTTTGGAATTGTTTTAATAGCCACATCAACATCACCATCTAATTTACCACTACAAACCATACCAAAATTACCAAGTCCCAATTCAGGTCCAACAACAAGACGACTTCTTTCAATTTCCCATTCGTCAACAATATATTTTGTCTCCATATAATCAGGATTAACACTTGCAAATAATCTCTCTTGACTTCGTTTCTTTTGATGACTACGAAATAGTAAATAAATAAATACAGTGACGGCAAAAAATAATGCCAATGGCAATACAATTGCAATTGTCAATGAATTATTCTCCTTAAGACCAACTGACACTTGTATTGCATTAGAAAATTCACTATTACCAGCCAATGATGTTGATCTAACACGAAAATTATATCTTCCTGGACTTAAATCTTTAATTTCATAAGCACCACGTTTTTCACGATAATTTTTAATATTCACACATTCACTAACTTTTTTTGCATCTTTTACATCAATATTAATATATTCAATAATATATGAGACAATAATTCCATTTGGATTTTCCGCTGGCTCCCAATAAACAATTACTGAACTGCTATTAGCATGATTTCTCTCATGTGCACGTACATTACGAACATTATCAAAATATTTTGTACTATTCGTTCGTATTGTACTATAAACTGTTTGTGAACACATTGGCATTTCATTTTTACCAATTTCACCGCATGCCGCTATTGATATTGTATAAACGGTAAAATGTTGTAATTTTGTTAATTTATGTGAATTATTTTCAGCAGTAATATTAAAAATAAAACTATTATCATGATAACCCGATGTTAATCCCTGTTCATTTGAACGACAATAATTCTTTCTACCCGGTGACCAATGATTTATAATTGTTGCTCCCTGACAAAATATTTCAAATTTTTTTGATTGTACAATTTTTTCATTACCCTTTGAACAGCATGATGTCGATGAATCGGTAACTATTGTTTTAAACATTATTTCCGGTGACTCTTCCATTTCATCATTATCATTGTCAATTAAACCATTTTCACAATAATTTCTCTCCAATGCAAGTTCATCATTATCGGGTCTCATAAAACCAGAAATAATATAATAACCAATTGGTCCATTTGTTTCAATTGGTGGATTCCAGGTGATTAAAATTTCACTTGAACTTAATGAATTTGTGACAACATTCGTTGGTATTGATGGTACATCACTTTTTGTACGAAAATAAATAATTTTCGATTGTCCAACAACACTTGAATATTCCTTATCTTTTCTTCTTGCCGTAAATGTTTTTACATAAACGGCATATTTTGTATAGGGTTTTAAATTTGTTATTGGCTTTGAGACTATTGATTCTTTACTTGAATTAATATTTGGATTTTCTACATCCTTAATTTGCCAAGTATTATTACTACATGAATTACCCTCGTATGTGACATTATTAATGTCAGTTTCAATGTAATTTAAAAGATAACTCAATAGTAATTGATTTGCATGTGGCGTATAGCTATTCCATTGTAGTACAGCATAATCAGAACCAAGTTTACCAACAGTCATATTTATTGCAACAATTTCACAAGCAACTTTATCACCATTTGATATTGGTTGTACTTCCAAATCACTTGGCTCTGGCATTCCAAGCATTTTACTTAGATCATAAATTTTTTGTAAACATAATTTTGAATTATAATGAAAAAATAGCTTACCATTTAATATTTTGAGTTGTTGATTTTTATTAAATAAATCAGATAAATTTGGATTATCAAGAATCACAAGACTTGAATTATTAATATCGAGTATTTCGCCTTTGATGATTTTTAATTTCTTAAAAAAACCCAAATTTGTTATATGAAATGAATGTGTTATTTTTAAATAGCCAGTTATCTCTTCAATTTGACCAAAGGCAACAGCCAATTCATTCATAATATTTGGACTTCCGCTTCGTATTTGAAATTCTAATGCTCCATTCACAACTGATATGCCGCGAAATATTTGAGCATCAGATATATGATGAATAATTGCTCCACTGATGACTCTTCGACAACGTCCCTCACAATCACGACACGATGTCACCTGTAATAGAAATCGTTTTTTCTTTTTTTTTTATCTTTTCTGAATTTAGGAAAAAAAAAAAAAAAAAAAATTGAGAGTGACCAGTGAAATTTCAATCTATCGAAATTTATGCTATTTAGAAGTGATAATTTATTTCTTCACAATATTGAATATGTATTTAAAAAATATGTTATGAAAATTTAAAAAAAATATATATATTTAAATCAGTAAACAATTTTTTAAATAGAAATTGCGAAATTCTCAAAAACTTCAAATTTGAATTTCTCTTATAATACGATGCCAAAGTCCACAATGTTTATTTGTTATTTAAAATTTTTTTATTTTAAATTATTTTTTAAAGCGGGAAATTATAAAAATTTTTTATCAAAAAACATATTTTTTTTTTTATAATATTTTTGATCAATAATAATTATTTCAAAAAATATCTTTGAGACAAAAATTTATAGAAATTTTTCATTCAAAAAAATATTTTTTTAAAAATCATTGAACATAAACATTTTGAACTTCAGCATTGTAAAATTTGTTTAATCTTGAAAGACGAAATTGCAGGATTTTTTTTAGATTTAAAAGATTTCTAAAAAAAGAAGGGAAATAATTTTTTAGAATTATTTTCTCTTTTTATAGAAAGCATTACATAAAAGAATATTTTTTTTCTGATTTTATAAAATTTGACAATGCTGAAGTGGTATTTTTAGAGCTCGGATCGAATTTAGGGGAAGAAAAAAAACATTTTAGACGATTTACATTACAAGAAAAGTCAAAAAAAAGTCGATTTCTTATTTTTAATAAATACAATTAGATAATAAATATTTTACTATTATTATTATCAAATAATTGTTATTAGAAATTAAATAAATTTTATTAATTCTCTAATCTGATTTATGAAAATTATTCGAATTCAGAAGTTTAGAAAATGAATACGTAGAAAAAATTTAAAAAATAATTGAAATTTGAAAAAGCTGCAGTTAATATTAAATGTTAACTGCATTAAAATTAAGAAGTAATTGAATTTTTAGAGATATTTAAATAAATTTTTTTAAAATTTGAATCGCTGAAGATTTTTTTTATAAGCTTTTTGATAATAATAATTGAATTTTAGAGAATTTTGAATTTGAAAAATGTTTTAAAAAAAAATTAAATTTTTGAAAATGTAAATTAAATTAATTAGAAATAATTAATTTTCCGAAAAATACAAACTAATAAAATTTTTGGAAAGATTTAAAGTTAAAATTTTTAGAAATAATTGAATTTCAGGAGATTTTAATTTGAAAAATATTTGAAATAATAGAATTTTTAAAGAACTTGATTAAAATTATTGAACATAATTAATTTTGCGAAGAATTCTAGTTAATATTCATTTAATAATTCAATTTTGGATGATGTAAATTTTATACTAAAAAAGCCGTATTTTATTTAAAAAATGTTTTTTAAAAAAATCGAAAAAGTCATATTTTATTAAATTGAGTCGAAAATAGTGACAAGAATTGAAAAAAGTCGATAAATGTCGAACGTATTTTTTATTTTACCAAATTTTGTATTTCCAAACGCGGTAGGAAAAAAATTCTTACACGAAATAGGAAATTCTAGGACCCAAAAAAAAAATTCAAGAACTTTTCCATGTTTTTCAGGTAAAAATAAAATTCAAGGACTTTTCCAGTTTTTCAAGGAATTTCAGTTCGCTAGACACCCTATTTGAGACAAAAATTTGAGATGCTTCAGCATCGTCTTACAATTTTAGTTATTTTTCACTGACAATTGTTTTTTAATCTTTTTTCATGATTCTAAACAATTAATCGTAAGGATTTAAAAAAATATCAATTTTTTCAAAAAATTTTTAAAAGTTGTAAAATGGTCAAAAATTATTTTTTAAAAAAATTTTTTCTCCCAAAATATGGTTTTACGTTTCAAAAATATGTCGAAAAAAATAATTAAAATTTTACTGTTAATATTTTTAAAATTCAACTTCTTTCACAATTTTCTATTCTTTTTCATCGGAAATTTTTTTACATACTTTTTTTATAATTCTTAACAATTAATATGGATTTTTAATATTTTCGATTTTTCTTTAAATTCAAATTCTAAAATTAACAAAAATATATTTTTTTAAATTTCAATAATTCAAAATAATTTTAAACCTTAAAAAATGCCTTAACAAAAAAAAAAAAAAAAAAAAAACAGACAACGTAAATTTTGAAAGGTTAAAAATTTCACTCGTTCCTCCTCTTAAATGAGTAATTGGATAAATGTAAAAAGTATTATTGGTTCTTGTTTACAGGCCTCGAATCGACTTTCAAGGCGCAAAAAAATAATTCTATGAGAATATTATCAAAAAAAAAATTTATTTCGAGTATTTAGTTATCGAACTAGGACAAATTTTTAAAATATAATTTGAATTTCAAGTGATTTTTAATTGAAATTTTTCATAATTTCAATTTGTAAAGCAATAATAATCTCAGTGAATGCCTCAAATATTTTATTACATATTATTATTAAATTTTTAATTATTTACTATTATTACCGTCAACTGGGGGTATTAAATATTATTATATAGTTATTTCTGTAAGTTTTACAAGAAGAAATTTTTTCCTTGTCCCTGCGATTGGGATTATTCTGGTACAAAATAATGTATTAATAATTTATTATATTTTTTTATTATTAATATTAATAAGACAAAAAATAATATTATTAACAATAAATTAAAAGTCATAATAAAAACAAAGTAAATATTTTTTTGATTAGGCTATATGTAAATTTTTTACTAGATATTGTAAAAAAGTCCCTGAAAAATCATTATTATTATAGAAATTATGTAAATAAATAGAAAGTAAACCCAGATAACTAATTTTTTAACACTTACCTTATACATATTTTTACATCGAATTTGTAAAATTTAAAATTGAAGCAGATTTTTAGAAATTGTAATTTTAACAAAAAAAAATACGCTAATAACATTATAGTTACTTTGTTGTCAATATATCGCATTACAATTACAATTAAGTTTAATATTTTACGTCGGTGATTGAAAAAAAAAATATTTTATTTCACAAAATTTTTTTGTTGTAAATTGTTCATCGAGAAGTATTGCAAAAATTTCTAAATCGTTGATCATAAACGTTGTGAATATCACCGACGTAAAATTTTAATATTTTAGTGTAAAATATTTTACAAATTAAAAACTATCATGTATACCATAATATCCCCTGTTGACGGTATTAAATGCTAAATTAATAAATTTCATTTCATTCTTTAAATAATAATAAAAAAAAAAAATTATTAAATAAAATTTCTTAAATTCAAAAAATTGAATTCTTTAAAAATTTTACAAATCTGATTTTTGTAAATTAGTATTCTAATTCATATTATTCGCAAAAATTTTTAAGATAAAGGGAAAAAATTTTTTTTTTAATTTTTAACAGATTTACAAAAAGTTTTTTTTTAGGTCAATTTATCAAATGGATAAAAATTAAAAGTTTCTTACTACATACAATGAGAATTTATTACTAAATTTTAGATTATGTTTCCCCTCTATCGTTTTTTTAGAGAAAAAAATTGTATGTTTTTTTATACAAAAATATAGCCTATAGGCTATTCAAAATTAAATTTTGTACACTTGCACTGAATCACTATTAAAAATTAAATTTTTACTTTATTCAATGATTCCAAATCTTCCTTAATTAAATAATTGAAATTCTTTTCTAATATTAAATAAAAAATTTGGAATTATCTTCAAAAATTTTTAATTCTAAACAAATTTATTAAAAAATTTTTAAAATTAATAAATATATTAATTCTGAGTTAAATATTTAAAAGAATAGATAATCTCCATCTTTTAGAAAAATTAATTTATCAACTTTTGAAAACTTGCTTCTCAAATAATAAAAATATTGAAAAAAGAAAAGTTGAAATAAAATTTGTTTCGAGATTCAAACTTACATTATGCTCATCGATGTAATCCTCATAACCATCTGGACACTGCATAATACAAGATTGTTGAAATGGTCGCCACTTATGAAAATTTTCTTCATAACTTTTACGACTTTTCGATATTTGATAGCATTCGGATTTTGTAATGCACCTTCGTGACAGATATGAGTATCTGGAAAAATTATTAAACTTTTTATATTTAAAAAAAGTCAAATAAAAGATCGTTTATTTCTTTATATAAACCTTTATGATCAAAGACAAAAAGTAATTATTATTACTAATTTTAATAATAATTAATATTTGAAATATTACATTAACAAAAAAAAAATATGTAAAACCTGTTTTTTGTTCAATACTCACAAATCAGGTGGACATTTTTCAATGCATTTTCCTTTATGGCGATAATGTTTACAAACATAGCAATCACTGTCAGTTGTACCTTTACAATCACCGAGACACTGTGGATGACATTTCTCGGGTTTCTGAGTTTCTTGGCAAAGTTGCGTAGCCCAACAGTGTCCCCCAGGGCATTGAGAACAACCTGACAAATTACAAACGAGAATTAACATATTTATATATAGTGTCGATCTTCTTTTCTTTTTTTAATTACATAATACTACTCTTTTTTCTTAATTTTATAATTTTCAAAAAAAAATTCCCACTTAAATATAATTAATTAAAAAAAATACAATATAGAAATACATAAAATAAAAAATACCAAGAATAGAATACATAAAATGAGGAGCAATTTTTTTGAAATCTCATTTCAATTTTTAAATAATTTTTTTTTTAAATTATCAATATATGTTGAATTATGCATAAAAATTATGTTTTACAAGAAACAATTTTCGATTTCAGCCCTCGGATCGATTTTAAGGCACAAAAAAATTGTTTTAGTCAATTTTTTTATTTTAACAAAATTTAATTGGTTAATAAATATTTTACTTTAAATAACTAATGTTATTAGATATTAAATTCATTCTATTAATTATGTAATAAGAATAATTCTATAAAATTATTATCAAGAAAATTTATTTCGAATATTTCAGAATCGCACTAATTGTAAGAAAAATTTTCAAAATTTTATTTAAGTAAGTACAAATTTCTAAAAAAAAATTCTTAAAGTTCCATTTTTATAATTTTTTTCAATTCTAATTGAATCAATTTATTCCAATTAAAAATGTAATCATAGTTTTTAGTTTTGATGATCAAAAAAAAATTTCAGTCAATACTTAATCAAGTTTTACAGATTTTTAAATAAAATTTTTTTTGAAAAATAATAATAATTTTGAAAGAGTTAAAGTTGAAATTTTTAGAAATAATTGAATTTCAAAAGATTTTGTTAATTTTCAGACAATAATTGAATTTTACAGTTAACTAAAAATAATTCATTAAAAAATAATTGAATTTCAGGAGAATTATAATTGAAATTATTTAATTTCAAAAAATTTTAGATTGAAAATTTTAGAAATGAAAAAATGTTCCTTAAATATATTTAAATATAATAATAAAAAATATAAATCTACATAACAAAATATTGTAATAATGTTATTCAAAGATGCCACAAGAATAAATTTTTCAATTTCTCTAATATTAAAAAATTTTCCCTGACAACAAATTTTATTAAATTTAATAAATTATAATAGAAATTTCAATAATTTAAAGTTAGAAAAATTAATTCTCCTACTATATTTGTCTTTTTACTGGAAAAGTGATCACAGTATCTTTTTTTTTGAAACTAGGTAATTATTTATCGAAAATAGATAATAGAAAAAGTAATAAAAAACTTGCAAAATAATCTAATTTTTATCTATTTTTTAGATGAATTAAAAATTTTAACCAACGATTAAAGTATATTAATTACTTGAAATTGAAATTAAAATTTAAATTGAATTGAAATTTTGATTATTTCAAATTTAAATTGAATTGAAATTTTGATTATATGAAATTTCATTAAATTTAAAATAAATTTAAATTTAATTAAATAAAATGTAAATTTATTTATTTATTTAAAACATAAAAGGGGTTTCAAGTTTAAATCTATTACAATAATTTTAATCAATAAATGCCTCAACTAATTTAAATTAAGATTTATTGAAATTTGACCTAAATAATTTTTAAATCGATGAAACTAAAAAATTATTTTTCAACATTCCTGAGTTTAAATCAATATTTTTTACATTGTAAATTTAATGATTTTTTTTTTAATATTACATCCGCAAATTAATCGAATTATGAAAAATGTGAAAAAGGTAAGAAATTATCAAAATAGTTGAAAAAAGGTAAATAGACGATAACGTATAATGCCCATTATTTATATATATATTATTACATTAAATTAATATTCTTACACACAAAGTAGTTTCATATAAAGATAATAAAATAAAAAAAAAACCTTATCAAATTGCAATAAGATTAATATTATTTTAATGCAAAGAATCTTTTTTTTTTAAATAAAGTAACGGTAAATTCATATATATATATATATATATAAATAAAATAGAATGTTTCTTACACTGTTAACACTATAGCGATAGAAATTTCGAGGAATAAAATAAATATATCGAGAAATTTGATATATCTTAGATAAAAAAGATTTTCAAAGATTTGTATAACTGATTAAAAGTAACAGTCTAAATTTTTCTTTTCTGTTTTTTTTTTCTTTTTTTTTTTGCATAAATTCAAATATAATTGCTGGCTTGCTGAGATATCGAATATGTGAAGGTAAAGTCTTCTTGGCCTTATTACAAATGCAAATGTTACGATAAGTATTATTAAAATTGATCACTGCATCCGTGTGCTGGTAGGTCAACTTTGAATGTACAATTTATGAACATTGTATGTGAGAAAAAAAAAAATTTCTCAAGTAAAAGGTTGAAAGTACCTGATAAATGTCGTTGTCAATTAAAGAAGCACACAATTATATCAATTTAATATTATAAAATGTACATATGAAAAAAAAAAATTTTTTCTTCATCTTCAAAGAAGTGCTTTTATATAATATTAAAATGAAAAAAAAATTCTTTTTCAACATAATAAAATATAAATAAAATTCACAAGATATAAAATTATATATTTAAAATGTTATATAGAAGAGTTAATGTTGCATATGTAATTGCGGTATATAGGTATGTATAAGATATAAAATCTGTAGGTATTAAAAAGAAAGAAAAATAGTAAATGGAATTTTAATTCTTTCAATTTATATAAAGAAATTTCTTACTAGAATTTTTTTTTTATACTCTTATTTCCAGGATTCGTAATGCAAAATGTTTTAAAATATAGGAAACAGTATATGACTTTGTATGAGAAAAATGTTGTCAAAAATACGAAATTTTTTTTTTTATTTAATTATTTATTTATTTTTATAATTTATTTAATTAATTAATAAATAAAAAGGAGTATATTTTCTACTAAACAGTGACATTTTTATTTTAGAAAATAATGGACATTTTTTTCAATTATTTATTTTTATAATTTATTTAATGAATTAATAAATAAAAAGATGTAAAATTTCTAAAGTTATATTGAATTTTTTTTTTCGCAAACAATTATGAAAATTTTTTTATCAACAATTTAATTTAGACAACAATTTTAATCAAAGCAGTCACATTTATAATAAAATAAAAAAATTAAAATTCAACAATTGCCATTAAATTACAAATAAATAAATAAATAATAATTCATTTTCCCTCAAATTACAAATTTTCTATTTGTAAGTTATTTTTTACTTAACTGAAAGAAATACTTGCAATTTTCTTTAAAATTTGTTCTGGTATATATAGAAAGAAAAAAAGTTTAAAATATTTTAATACTATTTGAAAAAAACAATAATAAATTTACTTATTTTTAGTATTTGTTGGACTTTTAAAATTTATTTTTAGATTTTTGAAAACTTTATCAATATAAGTATATAGTAATTTTTTTTATACTTATTGAAAATGTCATCAAAAATCTGAAAATGAATTTTAAAAGTCTAACAAAATACTAAAAATTAGTCAATTTATATTATTTTTTTTAAATAGTATTAAAATTTTTTTAACAAGTTTTCTTTTCATGTGGTTGAAATTCTTAACATGTATTGATCAACGATTTATATTTTTTATATTTTTTTTTTGTATTTATTTTATATTTTTTATATTATAAAATTAAAATATTTTTTTTTAATAACTTACCAGGACAAGAAGATTCGTTCATATTATCCTTGATAGTATTTTCACCAGCTACAACAATGGCATTCCAATCAAGTGTAGTGGTGTAACATAAAGATGGATTTTTCTCAATACGAACTGCTCCACGTGAAATTCTCGTCAATTTTTTCAATCCAATCTAAATATAGAAATTTGACAATAATAATTAGTAACGAAAAATAAAAGAAAAAAAATAAGTCACAGGTCGATTTTACAGGTCAAATTTATGGATAATTTATTCAATTGGTTAATGCCAATTGACCTACCAGTCAATTGGGTCTGACAAACAAATTCGAACTGATCGATTTTATGTCGCGTGGGAAAAATTAATTGATAGAATCATTCATTTTTACACTCTAAAATTGAATGTACGTGCCTGATTATATAATTAATCTCAAGGATATGTGTATAAAAAATTATACTAGTTCACCTTTTGTTATTTAATGTTTTATTTAAAAAAAAAAAAACACATAAATTGAAAAAACAGATTTTAATAAAATTTTAACGTCACTGAAGTTTAGGACAGTTTATGATCAACGATGTATGAAAAAAAAATGGTTGCAGAAAAAATATTTTCCCATACAAATTATTATAATTTTTTGAAAGAAAATAATTTGTAGGCAAAAAATTTTATTATTTTCCAAATGAAAAAAAAAAACATTTTCTTTCTTAATCGTTGATCATAAACTTCATTAAAGTAAATTTTAATTAATACACAATAGAATTTTATTCACTGATGCTATTTATATTTTACATCAAAAAATAATCTGATTCATAAAATATAAAATAAAAATTTAAACATTATTAAAATTTTAAATATAAATTAAAACATCGGATCAACTTTTTTACAGTTCATTTTTCTTAAAAGTTTTTTCTAGTTAATAATTCACAGAAATTATAGAAAAAAAAAATTTGCAATATTTAACAAATTTACAAAAAGTTTTCTAAGGTCAATTATTCATGGAATATTGATGAAAATATTCAAAAGAATTAATGAATTAAAAATAATTCTCAAGATTTGAAATTATAAAAATTTTTTGAAAAAGAGATATATTAAAAATTTTAATAATTAATCAAATAATTAAAATTCTCTTGAATAATTCAATAAAATATTGAGATTAGGTATAGTCCAAATATTAAATCTAAATAATTTGAAAATAACTTTAATTATTTAATTATTAACTGAAAATATCGTCAATTAGTGAAATAAATAATTGAAATTGACTTTGAGGACTTATAATGATAAAAACTTGTTTTATCATTAAAAAAAAAAAAACTAATATTCTAGTATTTTTTTTAATTACCAAGAAGTAATAATTAATGATAACTGTTCTGTGTTATGTGAGAATGAAATATTTTATAAGAAACGATGTTTGTTATTTCCTTTCAATTATAAAACAAACAAAAAAATTAATTTCATTTACACATTTAGTACAAACATACGGGCAAAGCCCGTATGCTTTTTCAACTTTTTCTTTATTTTTTTTTTTTTAATGTCGATCAGTTGCAATATTTTATAATATTAAATTCCAAATAAAATCATATTTTTATTTTTTAGAAAAGGTGCAAAAAATAATTCTATCCGAGCCCTGGGAATACTTAATTATTTATTCTCTTAATGCACTGGAATATTTGTTTAATAAAAATAAAAATCTCTCGAATATCAAATGAAAGCTTTACTAATTCTCTTTGCGATTCCATATGTAGCATATAATATGTATAAAGAAATGCATAATTTTCACTTAATTAAAAATTTTAATTCACTAAATTAAATATTAGGAAATAAAGTATTCAAAAACATACAGAAATAATTTTTTATTAATAAAAATAAAAATTATTATCAAGAAATGAATTTATCAAGAAAATCGGAACAATTTATTAAAAAAAATTTTAATTTCGAATATTTAAAAAAATTGTTTTCTTATGACGGGACCAGCCTTAAAAATTTTGTAAAGGGAAGTAGTTTTTTTAAAATACATTTTTCAAAAAAAAAAAAAAAATAAATAAAGCATTCAAACAAATTTAATTTTTTTCTCTAAATTGCAAAAAATACAGTAAATTATTTTTCAATAATTTTTTGTATAAAATTTTCAAAAAATTATTTGCTTGAAGTTCTTAACGTTCAAATTAACAAAAAATTTATTTACTACTTTTCTAACTTCAAATTTTATTATAAAATATTGCTTTTTGCATTCAAAAGTACGATTTAAAATCGCAAAAATTTTATCCAATTTTAATAAAAAAAATAGCTTATTTTACTCATTGAAACATTTTCTGCAATCGTAATTTTCAAATGTTATTAAAAAAATTATTATAATAATAAAATGCTTGGTCTGTCCTTCTGTCCTAACTTGAAGTTGGCCTTTTCTGATTTCACGTGTTTTTTTTTAATAGTAATCTTAATTGACGTGTCAAATTTTGACAATTCTTGTTCTCATTTTTGCCAAAGTTGTATAATTGTAATTCCAAATTTCGGAATAAGTTTCTTTAAAATTCCAAATTTGAAAATTCAATTCACGAAGCTGAAGTACACAACGTTTACCAACGAAATTTTTTTTAAAGTTGTATATTGATTCAAAAATTGTATACAGATATAAAAAATTTATGATGAGAAAAAAGATGCGCCAAGAAATTTCGTACAAGATAGTAATTTGAAAAAAATTTATTTTTAAAAATTAATTTTTAAGGTACCAGGGGCCAACGAATACCTATTAAATATTAATTATAAAAACACAGGCCTTGAATCAACTTAAAGACACAAAAAGTCGTTTTAGTCGATTTATATTCCAAAAAAAAGAGGATTTGTTTTTTATTTTAACAAAAATATTTTACAGATTTTTAAATAAAATTTTTTTTTTTTAATAATAATCCTTTTCGAAGGGTTAAAGTTGAAATTTTTAGAAATAATTAAATTTCAAAAAATATTGTTAATTTTCAAACAATTATTAAATTTTACAGAACTAAAAATAATTTATCAAACAATTTTTGGAAAACATTTTTTAAATTTAATTGAATTTTCAAAGATTTAAAATTGAGATTTTGGAAATTAATTGAAACTTTAAATGTTTTGTAATTAAAATTTTAGATGATTTCACTAAAAATTTATTAGAAAATGCGGACAAAATACAATAATTTGAAAATCATTTTTAATTGAAAAATGGTTTCAGATAGTTAAAATTTCAAAGAATATTATTAAAATAGTTAAAAATAATTGAATTTCCTTAGAGTTATAATTGAAATTATTAAATTTCAAAAAAAAAAATTTTCGATGAAAAATTTTAGAAATAATTAAATTTTAGATGCTTTTAAATTCAAATTATTGAAAATTCAATTAATTTTGAATTCAAATTTTTGAGAATAATGAAATTTTATTTGATTTTAAATTTGGAAAATAATTGAATTTCAGTTCATTTTGAATTGAAAATTTTGGGAAATAATTGAATTTTAATTGAAATTTTGGATAATAATTTAATTTAAGTTCAGTTTTGATTGAAAATTTGGATAATTAATTTTGAATAGAAATTTTAGAAAATAATTGAATTTTATTTCATTTTAAATTGAAAACTTGGTAAATAATTAAATTTTAAATTGAAAATTTTGGATAATTATTGGATTTTTAATTGATTTTGAATTAAAATTTCGGGTAATAATTGAATTTTAGTTTATTTTGAATTGAAATTTTTAAAAAATAATTCAATTTTATTGTGATATTTTTTTTTTAAATTATAAACAATTGTTAAATTGAATTTTAATTGAAAAATAATTTTGATATAATTGAATTTGTGATGTATTTCATTAAAATTATTAAAAATAATTAATTTAGTGAAGAATCATTTTAGTTCAAAATTTGTTAAATAATTGAATTGAAGAAGATCTGAAGAAGATCTACATTTTATACTAAAAAAAATGTATTTTATTTAAATTTTTTTTCAAATGTAAAAAAAATGTCGCATTTTATTAAAATAAGTCGATAAAAGTTGTATTTTTAAAAAAAAAGTCAGAAAAAGTCGTATAATCCGAGGCCTGTAAACATATAATTTTCATTATTATCATTTAATATGTAATAATATTCTAATAAATTAAATTATTATTGATAATATTAATCTTTAATTTCTTTATAACAAACAATTAAATACTCAATTTGGCGCGCTTGTGCGCTTTTAATTTTGCTAGTTATTTAATAAAATTTATTTTGTTTTGTTTATTATTTTTATTTTATAATTCGAAAAAAAATATTTTTAACAAAATTGAAAAAAAAATTACAATTTGTTGAGAATGTTTCAAGGAATAAAATAAACAATTGTTTATAAAAATTGGATTAAAAATTGCAAGATTTTGACGCAACATCATTTTTTTCCGAAAAGTGAATAACTAAGATCATGAAATTAATTTTTCTAATATTTTTGTTCAAGTTTAAGGGATATGTCAATTTTTTTTCTGGCATTATTTAGGATCTAAAATTATTATAAATATATTATTAAAATTAACAAACAAAAATTATTTTCGATCATTTAAGAAATATTTGGAAAAAATTAAAAATTTTTCAAAATCCATTCGATTGATTGTTAAGAATAATGAAAAAAAAAAAGTTTAAAAAATTTGACAATGAAAAATAATTAAAAAATTGTGGAAAAAAGTTAAATTTTAAAAGAATCATTAACATTTTATCCTATAAAAACTGACCTTGTTTAGGGGTAATAATTTTTTTTTGTTGAGATATTTTCTCAGAACCTAAAATCTTATTTCATTACGAAAAATTAAAAAAAAAAAAAAAAAATTATACCATAAAAAATATATTTTTTTGCACAAATAAATTTTTTAAATGACTTTCATTATACACGAAGAAAGCTATGCAAATATTAATTTAAATTTTGAAACTATTTAAACTTCTATTTTACTTTTACTTATACTATTTACTTTGATTTTAAGCCTCTTATGAGAATTGAAAGAATTCCAGCGAGCTTTGAAGAGATAATATATAAAGAGTGGTAGTATATGAATATTTTCCAGAGAATTTTTTTGCAAACGTTCCCTTCTTTTTTTTTCTTTTATTTTTATCGTATAATGTTCGCAAAGCATCATGATGATCTCTTTTTTTTTTAAAATTACAAATATATTATATAATGACGACAACACTTACCTCCTGGAGATTTTGCATTTCGTATATCATGAATGCATAATCCGTCAATAATGTATCTCCTCTGATAACTTCGAGATTTGGAAATAATTTACTGAGACTTTTTAGACCATTTACTCGATAAAGTAATAAATAACCTGTGATTTCACGTAATTTTGTAAATTCATATTTCTGAAAGTCTGTCTCATTGAATCTTTCAATAAGAACAATTTGCAGGAAACCTTCAATAACTTGGCAATCTTTTAGAATTTTAAAATAAGAAACATTATTTCTGATATCGATACTTGGACAAATACCATCGACAGAAGTGACATTTGGAAAACTTCTATGGCTTTTATCGCGAGTTCTTTCTTTCGATATGGAATTCTTTTTATGCTGCTTCTCGGATACTGTTTGCTGTCCATGTTTACCCACAGACGACTCTAAGGAACTGAAAAATTCCAATTAATTAGTAAGTAAAAACATACATTTCTATATATATATACATATATTGGAAAATTGTCATTTTATTGAAAAATATTTATTAAACGAGTGTCAGATATTTTTCTTTTTTTTTTCAAAAAAAATAGTACAATCAAGAAGGCCATCCCTTAAGGCCAGGTCCAAGTGAGGTAGCGCCATCTACATTGATACTAAAATTTTGGAAAATTTTCAACAGCCTTTTCTTGAAAACAAGATGGTAAAATACTTTTTCCTTTATGGATAATTGATTATTAGCAAGATATACACCAGCTAAAACTTTTTTTGAGTTAAAATAATAAAAAAAATTTCATGCGTCAATAAATTAAATATGAGCACTTTTTTCACAAAAACTGTAACACAGTACTTTCTCAGAAATTACAATCAAAAATGCAATTTCCATTTGGAAAATTAATAAACGCTAAAAAATATACCACCTAAGATTTACCAATCACGAAAATAACAAAAAAAAAAGTATTTTAACATAACATATTTTACTCATTATGACAGCCGTTTGGCAGGTTATATATGCCAACAGACGTTTCGCAGATTTGCCGAAAGGAGGAGATTGGCGCTGTTGCTAACCACCTGAAATACATAATCTACCAAAGGGCTGTCACAATCAGTAAAGCAGTTTCAATATGTTAAATATTTAATAAAATTTTTTTTTGTTATTTTCGTGATTGATAAATCTTAGGTCGTGTATTTTTTAGCGTTTATTAATTTTCCAAATGGAAATTGCATTTTTGATTGTAATTTCTGAGAAAGTACTGTTACAGTTTTTGTGAAAAAAGTGCTCATATTTAATTTATTGTCATGAAATTTTTTTTATTATTTTAACTCAAAAAAAGTTTTAGCTGGTGTATATCTTGCCAATAATCAATTATCCATAAAGGAAAAAGCATTTTACCTTCTTGTTTTCAAGAAAAGGCTGTTGAAAATTTTCCAAAATTTTAGTTTCAATGTAGATGGCGCTGCCTCACTTGGACCTGGCATACAAATTGTATAATATATATATATATGTTTAACGCTGCTATTTAGAAAAGAAAGAAACTAATTATTAAATAATAGATTACGCAGTGCTGTACTAAATGCATTTAAGTTAATATTAAAAAAAATCAATGTCATTAGCAATCGGATTCGCCGATTAATGACAGAGTTAATTCCGTAATTTACAAATTAAAAAAATTTTTTCAATTTCTTTTATAAATTATAATTTGAAAGATATACGATTGAAAGGATTTATAAATACACTTTTATTCATATAGAATTTTTCATTTCAAAAAATATTTCATAAAAAACTTTTGATCATAAACGTTATATAAACTTCAACATTGTTATTCAACTCTCATTTTAAGGTTATGTTGTTGTTTTCAAGTAAAATTTCAATTAAGAAAAATTCTCAGATATTATTTTCCGTTATAAACAAATCAAAACTTGAAGAATTCATATATTATTCTTAAAGTATTCGAAATTGGTTATAAAAAGTAATTAACTGTTTACAAATTTCTTTGAAATTTTTTCCCATTTTATATAAAAGACATATATATATGAAAGTTGAAAAAAAAAAAAATTCAAAGGCTCTTTCTGGAAATTTTCATTGATGGAATTTTTAATTTAGAAAGAATCCCTTTTAGAAAACTTAAGATATTTACTGCAGCAGCACGTGGTTTGTTTTAGTTTCAAAATCCAATAATTAGCTTAGGTTCGCATTATGCAAAGGAATCGAGAGCGCTCAGCGGTGAAAATTATTGAAAATTTTGCTTTACAAACTTAATTAATTAACAAGGACTGGAGGCAGTATTCATATTGAGAATACAAATTAATTCATTAGAATAACTGCAGATTTTTTTTTCATCATTTCTCATCAATAGAATATTGTCAGACTAATAGAGAGAAAAAAAAAAAAATAAAACAGTTATGTGGCCTTGCACAAAATATTATACGTTTATAATATCTTTATATTAAAAATAAAATTCACTTTGCAAATCTAAGCAAATCTAAAAGTGTACGATGCTATCAATGAAAGTATTTTTCGTTTGCATTATTATTATTATTATTATTTTTTTTTTTTTTGAAAGATAAGAGAAACTATGTTTACGTCGCGAATGACGCATCACTGACGAGGATCAGAAATGATTTATCACTCCTTCCGCAAAGTGAATTACATCACAACCTCGTATATAATATACGTTTGTGATAAATGAAACAGATTTACCTGGCATTTTGCTGCATGGTAATAAAAAAAAATTTCTTTTTTTTAATTTCAAAACAGATATCTACTTTGGAATGCGGATACTTAAGGAAATAATAAGTCATTGTTCGGAAATTGTTTTACAAATTGACAAAAAATATTTTAAATAATTTTTTTTTGTCCTTTATTAAAAAATAGGATAACGTTTTTTTTTTTTTTTTTATTTAATACTATATCACATTTGAAATATTTAATAATTTAGAATTTATTTTACAAAATTAATACCAAAATTTAAAAAAATTTCTTTTCCAATTTTTCAATTTTGATTTTGTGTTTTCTAAGAAAATTTTTATCTATTTCTTATTTTTATTCTCAGAATTGTGAAGATCATAAAAAATATTCAAGTTTAAATAAAAGGGCTCGTTAATATAAATAAAATAATAAATAAATAATAGAAATAATAATAATAAATGAATTAAATTGAAAAAAAAAATTTATTTTGGAATTTTGAAAAATATTTTCATTGAAACATATTAATTTTTAAAGGTAAATTTTCCAATGTTAAAAAATATAAAAATAAAATTTGTCAATAATTCTTTTTTTTTGAATTTTTTTATCAAACATAAAAAAAATATTAATTTTGTTTTTAAAAAAATGTGGTTATTTTTGTAATTTATTCTTTGGTTTGAAAAATAAAATAAAAAAGAATTATCTAAGGTAATTTATGAATTTAATTTAATAAATTAAAATATAAATTAAAATTTTTTAAACTAAATTTAAATAATAAAATATTATTAGTTAAATAAAGAATAATAATTTTTCATTTTAGAACTTTCTTAATTCGAAAATTTGGTCATAAACAAAAAATTTTAAAAAAAAACATATTTCACATTTTTCTACACAGCGAATAGGAAAATATATTTAAATATCTATATAACAATAAAATCAAAAAATTTAATGGCAATTTAAAATTTTTCAAACAAGAAAACTTAATTTTTTTTAAATGCATCCACACACACACACACTTGTGAACGTGACTTTTTATTTCCCCAAGTGATTTGTAGTTTGTCCACCAATATTTATTACAGGATTTCCCGATCGATGAATTCTTGGCCTTTTTTGCGCGTCAGAATTATTTTAGACAAACTTATATGGGCAAATAAATCTGTTTTTACAAACTCAACATTAAATTACACTTTAAGAGAAATAATGGTCCAGAAGATGAAAACAATTTTTATTTATTTCCCAATAACTTCGCTATTTATATATTTTTTTTACCCCTTATCATCTGTGGGAATTTTTTTTTAATACAAAAAATTTGAAGCAATATCGAAATTTTACAAAAAAAAAATTCAAGGTAATAATTTATCTTTAATATTTTTTTTCTCGAATTTTCAATTAATTGAAGAATAATTCGTGTTAGGAATCAATTGCGATAAGACTACATCCAGAGAAATGATATATATTTGTTTTAGAACCAAATAAATATTTATATTTGTTCCAAATAAATTTTATTTACGCCAAATAAAATTTTGCTTGTGCTAAATTAAATTTTTTATTTCAAACAAATAAAAAGTTATTAGGCTCTGACATGAGACAAATAAATTTTTTTCTTTTAATAAAATGAGACTTAAAAAAAAGTTAGATAAAGAGGAATTCTGTAAAATAAAAATTCAGTCAAACAAAAATTTAGTACCATAATTAATTTTAAACTAAATAAATTATATCTAATAAAGTTCCTTGAAATAAAAATTTTAACCAATGAATTTTTTTGAGAAATTCATGCGCCTTTAATATTAATAAAAATAAAAAATGAATTAAATTAAATTTATTAGAATTTTAAAAAAATCGACTTTTTCGATTTTTTTTTCTGTAAATCGACTAAAAAAAAAATATATATATATATATATATTTTTTTTTTTGCGTCTTGAAATCAATCCGAGACCTGTTCCCTTTTTTTTAAATTTGTTTATAGAAGAAAAATAAAAAATGAATAATAAAATTTTTTATTTATATAACGAAGAAAATATTTTTTACAAAATAGTTGAAAATCTAATATTAAATTTCAAATTCAAATACGATTGAATATTTTATACAATAATTAGTGTTTTCAATGCCAAATACAATTTTTGTTTTTAATCTATTGATTAAACAAATTTTATAAAATTAGAAAAAAATATTCTTCCATGTAATGCTTTCTATAAAAAAAAAAACTAAAAAAGAAAACAAATCTCTAAAAAAATCATTTCAATTTCTTTTTTAACAAATCCTTTCAATCTGAAAAAATCCTCTAATTTTGTCTTTCAAGTTTAAACAAATTTTACGATGCTAAAGTTGAAAACATTTATGTTCAACGATTTTTAATGAAATATATTTTTGAATGAAAAATTCTAGAAAATTTTTGTCTCAAAATAGATATTTCTTGAAATATTTATTGATTAAACAATTATATAAAAAAAAAAATTTTTTTTAGATAAAAATTTTTTATAATTTCCCGCTTTAAAAAATAATTTGTTTTCTAATCGTTGATCATATAAACATTGTAGACTTCAGCGTCGTCAAATTTTATAAAATCAGAAAAAAATATTCTTTATGCTTTCTATAAAAAGAGAAAATAAATTTAAAAAATCATTTCAATTTTCTTTACAAATCCTTTCAATCTAAAAATACCCTGTAATTTTGTCTTTTAAGATTAAAAAAATTTTATAAAATCAAAAAAAAAAAAATATTCTTTTATGTAATTCTTTCTATAAAAAGAGAAAATAAATCTAAAAAATCATTTCAATTTTCTTTTTTTTTTTTTTTTATACAAATCCTTTTAATTTGAAAAAATCCTGTAATTCCGTCTTTCAAGAATAACGAAAAAAAGTTTAAAGAATAAAAAAAAAAAAAATTAGAATAAAAGTTTTTTTTTTTTACCTTGAAGAATCGATGGCCCGCCTGTATCTGTAAATGAGTGTTCCCTTGTTAAAATTATCTTTGTCTCGAATCTTGTCATCTCTTTCATTGAAATCGTGAAAGGCATTTTTAAGTTCATTAGAAAAATCCAAGTCCCCATTTTCCTTTGACAAGGATATATCCTTATTGGTGAGAGGTTTAAACTCGCTCTTATCGGGCAAGTTCTCCACGGAGATGACACACGAGGTCAAAAGGACACACAGAACAATGAATAATTGCTTCTTCGTTTTCATTTTCTCCTCCTCATGGATCCTGACTATTGCTATATATGCAAAGTCTTTTGATCCTAATAACTCCGATTTGGTTTTTTTTTTTTCTTTATTATTATTTTTTGTTTTTAAATTGATCGATATCTCACAACACAACAACAATGATGATAATAATAATAATTATAATTCTAATTCTAATAATAATAATAATAATAATAATAACAAAAACAAAATTTTAAATATAGATTATTGAGCGCATCATATACACTGAAACGTTCTCAAGATTAAGACGTTGTCTGAAGATGTCGAGAAGTTTGACCGCTGTCTTCCACACGCGGTTTTTGACGTGTTCCGATTGATACAGTTTCTCTCCGGCATTGAATCGTCGATAAACCCACTACTCTAATCACTTCATTACATTGATGCACTGGCATGCACATGCACATGCGTCTACCCACGCGCCACATAGATTCTTCAATAAGAAGAAACAAGGCGAGGAGAAAAAAAAATAAATAAAAGAAAAAACAAAAGCACAAACACACAGACACGCGCGTCTTCTTCTTTTTCTTCTTCTTTCTCTCTCAAAGCAAATTGACTTCCATTGAGAATTTCATCGCAACTTTCCTCGCGCGGGGTCAATTACTTTGGAACGTTTCCTCCCCTAAAGTAGCTTTTTATTGAAGATGAAAAATTTCTTGGTCTTCATGACTGGATATGCCATCTGCTTTCACCTAGAAAAAAAAAAAAAAAAATTTGTTTGCCAATTAAACTAATTAATATTTTTCTTTCTCAAGATTCTTTATAAATATTTTTCATTTAAAACATTTATTTATTATTATATTATTTGAGGCGCATGATTTTTCCCAAATATAAAAAAGTTCGAAATTTTTATTGATCGAATTACTTTAAGTCGATATTTTATTTGGTCGAAATTCTAAAAGAACGACAGTTATTGAAAGTCGACATTTTATTTAGTCGATGTTTTATTTGATCGAAATTCTAAATGATCGATATTTAAAGAGGTCAACAATTTATTTAGTTGATATTTTATTTGGTCAAAATTTTAAATGGTCGATATTTGAAGTGGTCGATATTTTATTTGATCGAAAATCTAAATAGTCGATATTTAAAGTGGTCGAGATTTTATTTAGACGATATTTTATTTAGTCGATATTCTAAATGATCGACATTTAAAGTGGTCGAAATTTTATTAGTTCGATATTTTGTTTGATCGATATTCTAAATGATCAATATTTTATTTGTTCCATATTCTAAATGATAGAAATTTAGAAACATCGAATTTTATATCCATCGAAATTTAATTTGGTTGATATTTTAAAAGCTCGACACTTTTTTAGCTATACGAGTTTCCTTTCTATGTAGTTTGTCGGTAAAGTACATTGAAATTTTGCGGGAAATTTGAAATTATTGATGTAAATAATAATAACAACATAGAGAGGAAACTCGTATAGCTAAAAAAATGTCGAGCTTTTAAAATATCGATCAAATTAAATTTCGATGGATATAAAATTCGATGCTTCTAAATTTCTATCATTTAGAATATGGAACAAATAAAATATCGACCACTTTAAATGTCGTTCATTTAGAATATCTACCAAAAAAAATATCGAACTAATAAAATTTCGACCACTTTAAATGTCGATCATTTAGAATTTCGACCAAATAAAATATCGTCTAAATGAAATGACGACCTTAATAAATGTCGGTTATGTAGAATTTCGACCGAATAAAAAATCGACTGAATAAAATGTCGACCTTCATAAATGTCTATCATTTAGAATTTCGATAAAATAAAATATTGACTAAATAAAATATCGGCCACTTTAAATATCGATAATTTAGAATTTCGAATAAATAAAATAACGACCAAATAAAAAGTTGACCATTTTAAATATCGATCATTTAGAATTTCGTTCAAATAAAATATCGACTTAAGGCCAGGTCCAAGTGAGGCAGCGTCATCTACATTGAAACTAAAATTTTGGAAAATTTTCAACAGCCTTTTCTTGAAAACAAGAAGGTAAAATGCTTTTTCCTTTATGGATAATTGATTATTGGCAAGATATACACCAGCTAAAACTTTTTTTGAGTTAAAATAATAAAAAAAATTTCATGTCAATAAATTAAATATGAGCACTTTTTTCACAAAAACTGTAACAGTACTTTCTCAGAAATTACAATCAAAAATGCAATTTCCATTTGGAAAATTAATAAACGCTAAAAAATACACGACCTAAGATTTACCAATCACGAAAATAACAAAAAAAAAGTATTTTAACATAACATATTTTACTCATTATGACAGCCGTTTGGCAGGTTATATATGTCACCGCAGACGTTTCGCAGTTTTGCCGAAAGGAGGAGATTGGCGCTGTTGCTAACCACCTGAAATACATAATCTACCAAAGGGCTGTCACAATCAGTAAAGCAGTATCAATATGTTAAATATTTAATAAAATTTTTTTTTGTTATTTTCGTGATTGGTAAATCTTAGGTCGTGTATTTTTTAGCGTTTATTAATTTTCCAAATGGAAATTGCATTTTTGATTGTAATTTCTGAGAAAGTACTGTTACAGTTTTTGTGAAAAAAATGCTCATATTTAATTTATTGACATGAAATTTTTTTTATTATTTTAACTGAAAAAAAGTTTTAGCTGGTGTATATCTTGCCAATAATCAATTATCCATAAAGGAAAAAGCATTTTACCATCTTGTTTTCAAGAAAAGGCTGTTGAAAATTTTCCAAAATTTTAGTATCAATGTAGATGGCGCTGCCTCACTTGGACCTGGCCTTAATGTAATTCGATCAATTAAATTTTCGACCTTTTTAATTTTTGGAAAAAATCATGCGCCTCTATTATTTTTCATTTATATATTATTGTATGTTTGTTTTGTGTTATTAAATTATAATTATTCAATAAGGATTAAATATAAAAATAGGAGCTTTCATCAAAATTTTTTTTTTTAAATTTAATGGGTGCAGATTGGATAAAATTTATAAAACAATTTTTTTTTTTAAATAATTTTTCAATGAAAAATAAGCATTAAATTTAATTAAAAACGTTTTAGGGAGCGTTTACATATTACGTCACATACTTAGGGGGAGGGGAGGGGGGTTGTTGAATATGTGACGATCTGTGATGTTGAGGAATTGGGGTCTTTGCCTCAATGTGACATCACAGCATTAAAATACTAATATAAAATAATATAATAAACCATACCAAAATTTGAATTAAAAGAAACGCCTTGCCTAGTTAACGTAGAAGAGCATTTAAAAACTTCTTTTTTAAAAAAAAAAAATTTATTACATTTAGATATGTATTTCATTTAGAAAAACAAACACATATATGGGTGATTCTCCGCGTAGCGCACAACTTGCTTTTTTTCATGTTGTGAAAGAAAAATCACAAATATTCACAGTAATATTGTGGTTTTTAAGGCTGAAAACGTTAAAATTTAACCTGTCCCCACAGGATGTTTAAACAAAAAAGTGAATATTTTTAGCAATGTGCACTAATAAATACAATTTCTATTGCTATTTTAGTATTGTATATTGTAGTGGAATTGAATTAAAAAAACGTTTGATCAAAAAAAAAATTATTTTCTTTTTTTTTTGCTATTTATACTTGACTGCACTTTTGTGTGTTATTCTGCGTTTTATTATTAAACATTGCATTATTTAAATAAAAGTCAAATGTTAATATAGTTCTACTTCAGTAACAGCAAAAGTTATATTCCTTAAGTTGATCCATGAAGAAAGTAATCAATTTTCTAATTGATTTATCCTTTTTTTACACATTTTAAGATTCAAATTTGTACAGGGCATCACAAAATCGTCTCCACCAGCATCCACCGACCCTTCAATATTATTTAAAAAAATAGAATATAATTAAATAATAAAGGTTAAATAAAGTGTAGTTATATTATTTTAGTCTATATATATGTGAAACATATGAAACCGATTAAAAAAAAAAAATAATTTTCTCAAAAAAAAAAAAAAAAAATTATTAACACCAGTTCGACCGGCCCCAGTACTTTTTAGTAATTTAAGAGGATAAAATTGAATTATTTAAATTAAATAAAAACCGCTTATTAGTATTTTATTATTTTCATTTTATAAATATTGAAATTATTGATGAAATAATTTAATTTTTTTAAAAATTATAACCTCATATAAAGTAATTCTTTTTTAACTTTTTTAGCCACCTGTAGTATTTTTTTTAAACAGGTTAAAATAATTTGTTTTTTTAAATGATTAATAAATTTTTGAAAACAAAATGTTTTATCTGTCCACTTGAAAAAAGGAAAAGCCTGTTATTTCAAGTTAATAATATATGTACACATTCTCAAATACTGTGCAGCAGAAAAATCTCAATTAAATTTAAAAAAAAAGAATGAAGTTCTGAACGTTCAAATGAGCGAAATCATTTTTTTGGTTAAGAAAATTTTTTTAAAAATTACTACAACAATGAAAAATAAAAACCTACATTAAACAATTAATAAAAATTATTAATGTACTTTTGAATACAGAAAGCAATATTTTATAATAAAATTTGAAGTTAAAAAAGTAGTAATAAAATTTTTCGTTTATTTGAACGTTCAGAACTTCAGGCACTATTTTTTATCCTTAATTTTTTCATAATTTCGAACTTACAACTTACAACTTTAATAATCATAAAATTCTTCTAATAATAATAAATTGCTGAAAGAATGGTCTATGAGACATTTTTCCAAACTTTCTATATACTTTTCTCAAAATTCTGTATATAAATGTAAAGTATTTTTAAGTTCTAAGAAGACATGAATTTTTCATTTTGATTTGATACCTTTATAAAGATAAGCGATTCTTTCAGTTCGCGGTCATTGACATAAACAGGTATAAAACAGGGTTTCTGTTGGTAACATAGACAGGACTTTAAAAAATCAAAAAGCCACTAGGAATGCACTCACAGTTTCTGAGTCTCTCAGATATCGAACGTGTTAGCATTTATAGAGCTGATTCTCAGCATTAGTTTAATAATACTTAGCAAAAGGTAGCAATTTCAATAAAATTTCTATATTTAAATTAAAGTATACGTTTTACGATATATGGATATAAATTCAAATATATAAATATATAATAAAAAAAATCGGACAAGTGTGGCCGTTAGGGGGAGGGGGGTACATGCCTTGCTTCACTAGTCTCATTAATAGGGTTCCCCCTTGGGGTACGGAACCCTAAAAGAACTTGAATCATGAAAATTACTTTATATTTAAATATATGTCGACGTCTGCATGAAAAGGACCCACTTTGTCGGCTCCAGTTTCCGAGATAATTGCAATTAATTAATTTCGGAGACAAATTTTGAAAATTTCTTTTTTCACTCATTTTGTCGCTCCGTTGCAGAAATTGTAATATATACATACACTGAGAAAACTGTTTGGTATCATCTACTGAAGTTTGGTTCTCCAAACCAAATTTTTTATTTGATATATGTGCAACTAATCCGTTTGGTTCGGGCTACTAAATTTTTTCGTTGAATCATTTTGTTCGGTCTACTAAATTTTTTGTTTTGCACAACTAACTTATTGTTTTTAAGCAAACAAAAAATTTAGTTAAATGAAAAAAATTTTTTTCTTTTCTCAACCAAATTATTTTTTGGCTCACACTTATATTTTTTATTTTTCACTTAATTTTATCACTTTTGTTATCCTCTTTTATTACCCTATG